GTGAATTTATGCATACCTAACGGTGTATGCCGCACTGACCGCACGGGAAGACCTGACCTCACATGAACCAAAATCTATATATATATATATAATATCGGAAAGTTCTCAATATTTCACATATTGTTTTTTTTTTTTAACATTTCAAGAATTTTAAAATATACAAAAATTAAATTGGAATACAATTTCAAAATATATATATCATCCATTGCAACTAAAATACTTACATACAAACTTAACTTGATCACAAAAATTAAATATGAACGTATAACTATGAGATAGATCTATATAGTAATTGCACTGTGTCAGTCAAAATGTGACGATTTGTATACTTATAAAATTAACATATTGGACAATCTTGACCAAATATTATTTTTTTTTTTTTGAAAGGAATCTTGACCAAATATTTAAAAAGAATGTTGAGGATCAATTTATTCAAAAAGGGTAGGCAGGGAGTATACTTGTTTGTTTTATTATCTTAAGACAAATTTGTTACCATTCTAAATGAGTGGTCATAGAATTGAATTTTGTGGTGGAAACATAGATTTTTTGGGCTAAAAAAGATTGAAAAAGTATAGAACAAATATTAGTTACCATGTAAAAAATCATGAGTGTAGTGTCTACAGGATAAACTCTCTATTTTGTGTAAAACCTGCAAATTACACAAGAGAAATAAGAGAGATAATAGAAACATGAGGGTGTACGTGTAACTCTGCACGGGGTAAACTCACTCTTGTGTGTAATAATCCACAAACTACCTAGGAGAAGTAAAGCACACTAGAAAGACCTTTAATTTGTGTAATTATCCGCAAATTACATAGGAGAAGTAAAACACACTAGGAAGACCCTGCACGATAGATTCAACTGAGATGGTGTTACCAAGAATCAAACTTATAACCTTACAGGACGAGAATCATGCTCCGGATCCCCCACTCAATCATCCCTTTCGGGACATTTTTAGTATTTCTAGTTATGAGGTTGAAAGACAATATTTTCTGTTCGATATTTGTATCATTATTGAGTTGGACCTCTCTGGCCCTCTTTGTAGATATTTCCTCTACATATCATACTCTAACTGCTATAGTTATAACTTATAAGGATTTTGAGAGTAGATAGTTCTAGGAACATGAGTAGTGAAGCTAGAGTGTTAACGAATAGAGTTTTTGATAAACTACTTATGTTTGTGTTTAGTAAGTGTTTGTTTATTAAGATAAACGAATATAAATGAACAAATTTTAGAAATCGTTTAATAAACAAACAGAATTCGAACCTTTGTATGCTCGTTTGTTAAAAGCTCGTAAATGCGTTTGTTAGTGTTCGTTTAATAATGTTCATGAATATGCTCGATCATTTAGTGTTCATTTGATCATGTTCACGAACATGCTCATTTAGTGTTCGTTTAAGATTGACACATTTAAGTACAATTTATTTTATTTTATTTTATTTTTGTAAAAATTTAAGATACTATTTTAGTTTAGTCAAATTTTTTATACTCATTATGTTGTTTGTTAGGTTATTGTTCGTGAACATAGACTATTCCTTGTTCATGAATATAGACTATTTCTTGTTCACAAACAAATTATGATCATGTACATGTACATGTGTTTGTTTGTTTAGCGCTCGTGAACATTAGCGAACACGTTTGTAAACGTTAACAAACACGTACTAACGAATGCTTAACAAACGAATGCGAACTGAATTTTTTAAAAAAATCTTAATAAACAAACACAAACACTTTAAAAATTTTAACAAACGAACACAAACAAACTCTGTTCGTTCATGTTCGGTTGATTAACAGTCACAAGTGAAGCCATATTTCTTGTTTGAGTGCCAAAACATCCTTGGGTAAATTTAAGCCAACCTTCCTAAAAAGAGTTAATAAATTATAGCTAAGAAGAGTTAGTTAGACAAAACACTTCTTAAATTAGTAAGAAAAAATTAGTAACAAATTAAATTTGGCTACCTCCATTACTTTGAGAAAATGACTGCCCCCATCAACTCTGTGATGATGGGCGCAGCCATGGATGCTCTTGCCTAACCCGAGTTGACAAAGGGCAGCTATCAGAACCCTTCATTTAAAAAAAAACCGTGATGTCTTATAACATCATAGAGAGAATTTGTTTTCATTTGATGTTAAGATATTTATTGTATAAAATTTTCAATTCATAGCTTATGTTACTATCATAGTTTTTCCACTTTCGATCTCACGGTTATTGAATTATTTCTACATTTAGTTAACGACTTTTAAAATCTTAAAGGATCTCAGCACTGCACTATGTTTACTCGGGATTATCGGAAGTCAAGTACCCTTAACCACAGAGTTCTATGGTACCTGGTTGTCATATCATACTCAAAATCTTGGTGATAAGTAGGTGGACATTAACCATTTAACCACATCTCTCTATGGTAAGCCACAGCGTCATGTCTCGAATCAAGCAGAGGCTGAACTCGACCAACCCGGCCGACGCCCAACAATCCCTCTCCGAGCACCTGCTGCAACCTTTGATCACCAAGCTCGAGCAGGGGCTGAACTCGGCCAATCCGACCGACGCCCAACAATCCCCTCTTAACATTTGCCGCAACCTTTGATCACAAAGCCCGGCCAGTTGTACAACATGCCTGACTCGATCCTTGCTTGGCCCGACCTTGGACTCAGCCAACCCGGCCGACGCCCAACACATTTAGTCCTCTGATGGCCTAATTTCCGATCATCGGTAATTAAATTTGTATCTTTATATTATTGAACATAAATACATAATAATCAAGTGAGTTATCATAGAATTTTTTTTTTCAATTATTAACTTTAAAATTTTTAGAATTATTGTAACATGCAAAGATAACCTTTATTATTATTATTATTATTATTATTATCATTATTATTATTGTTGTTGTTGTTGTTTTATTTGCGGCAGTGACGTTCAGTGTTTACTAGAGGAATATATGATCACCACGTGTTAATAACAACCAAGTCAACGTTCAAACAAATACGAACTTATAATATAACTAAATTCATTTTAAATTGTGTTAAAAGAAAAAATCATTTTAAATTTACCTAATCCATCGATCCATGCAAAAATAATACAGAGTAATGGAGACGACAGCTGGGTTGCGTTCTTCGAGAAGGCAGCCATGGTGGTAGTGTAACCCAGCCGGAGGGAGCCAGAAAGTCTGGGTCAAAGATCGAATTTATAGAGAAAATTTATTATCTTAGTCGATATTAATATCAATCATACAATATATATATATATATATATATATATATATATATATATATATATATATATATAATTGTGTCAATTATTATTGATAATTATTTTTAATTATACTATGTGCAATAATATATGAAATATATAATTATATGAGACCAAGTGGCTTGTAGTCCACTGGTATCGGATTGCTCTCCTATGTGAGAGGTGTAGGTTTCGAGCCTTAGTGTAGGCATAGATTGTATGGGTATTCCCCTTCCTTTGTAATAAAAATTATATTTATTAAAAAAATATAATTATATGAGTACAATTGTTAAGATTCTCAAACATTACTTTTGAATTTTTCACATAACACAAAATATATACAGTAGTAAAAAAAAAAATTACACTTTTCATCCCTAAATGATAGGGAAAATTGAACTTTTTATCCCTAAAATACAGGGTCATTGTAGAATCATCTCTAATTATTAATCGTGCTCACTTTTCGTCCCTAAAATATACTTCATAATTAATGTTGCAAATTTCGTCCCTTTACTAACAAAATATTTGGAACGAAATTTGCAACGTTAGTATAGCTTAGAGACGAAGAGTGACCACAACCTGTTATTAAAAGGACAAAATTTGTGACGTCAATTATAACTTAGGGCTGAAAAGTTAGCACAACCAACATTTAAAGACGAATTCTACAATTACCTAATAACTTAGGGACAAAAACTGTAACTTTTGAGTTCATTTAATATATACATAATAGATTTTTTTTTAAAAAAAATAAATTAAGAGGGGGACCAAAAGTGTAATTTTAGTATATATAAATATATAAATTTTGCGTGTGTTTTTTTTTTTTTTTTTTTTTTGTGTTTAATAGTACTTTTAGTATAGTTTCTAAATATATAACTTAAAAGGGAAAATGGTTAAATAGGCCCTCAAACGTTACCTAAAAAGTCAATTAGGCCCTAAACTTTTTAAAGTTGCAATTAAACCCATCAACATCTCATTTTGGTGCAATGAAGCCCAAAAACTAATTTCGGCAACCTCCGGCGACATTTTCAGCAACAAATCAATTGGCGATTGTAGAATGGTCGCTAATTGATTTTGAATTATGGAGAAGGAAACTGGATTGCGTTCTTCAAGAAGGCAACCATTGAGTTGTTTCTCTGGTGAGAAGACAAGCAACTTAGTAGTCGCCTTTTCCGGCAGAAGGCAACCATGGTGGTAGTGTAACCCAGCATATAACTATTTCTGCAACTCCATATATATGAAATATGAATTAGTAAACAGACAAACTCAGCATAAAAAAGTTTGTTTAACTATTAAATTGTACATTGATTAAATGCGAGACACAAATAAATTAAACTAAGAAACATTTTTTTTTTTTTGTAAAATTGTGCAAATAGGTAGTGGGAATCAGGACTATGTTGTCCAATGGTACCCGGGTTGGACTTCCACTTGGAAGGTTGTGAGTTCGAGCCTCAGTAGAGGGGTAGTGGGAATCAGATCAGTTGGTACTATGTAAAATCGTTGCATGTGAAATGCTTAATATTTTTCTATAAGTTAATAAAAAAGTATTATATATTTTTATAAATAAAAAACATTCTACGTTTTTCATTAGCCAGCCAATGCATACTTTTACTGAACAAAGGCGTAGTAATATTGAACTCATATAGTCATCTTTAATGATGACCCAAAATCGTCTGAACAGCGATAAAGATAATGCAAATATAATATATTTAATTCCCCATTTTAATACTTTATTTCTGTGTCACTGTGTGTGTACAAATATTATATAAACTGATGATCTGTTAAAGTTGACGAAACCCACACCCAGAAGAGCAAAATAGTGATAGTGAGAGAGAGAGATGGCGGAGGAAGTGAGCAACAAGCAGATAATTTTCAAAGGGTACGTGAAGGGGGAGCCGAAAGAATCCGACATGGAATGCCGGACAACCACCGTGAAGCTGGAGGTTCCGGCGGGCTCCGACGCCGTGGTGGTGAAGAATCTGTATTTAGCCTGCGACCCATTCTTGCGGCCTCGAATGATAGATTATGGAGGCAACTATGTCTCGGCTTTCACGCCCGGTGAAGTAAGTCTAAACTGATAATTGAAGAGTATTTTATATGTTTAGTATTTCTTTTTACGTGTGTGGACTGATTACTTTTTTGTTGTGATGTAGGCTATGGAAGGATTTGGAGTGGGCAGAGTGTTGGATTCTGGTAATCCCAAGTTCAAGAAGGGCGATTTGATATGGGGAATCACCGGTTGGGAAGAGTATAGTATAATTACTCAATTTCATGACCACCTTCACAAAATCGAACATACAGATGTTCCCATTTCATATTATGCGGGAATTCTAAGTAAGTTTTATATATATACTTCATTATATATCATATGTGTGTCTAACAAATTTGTGTGCGACCGTTTCACGAGACTCAATCCGTGAGAGATGGGTGAATCTTTGATTAATGAGGTCAAAGATTCGACCTATTGATTCGACTCATCTCACAGATTGAGACCCGTGAGACAGTCTCACACAAGTGTTATATATATATATATATATATATATATATATATATATATATATATATATATATATATATATATATATATATATATATATATATATATATATATATATATATATATTGGTTAAAATGTGGATAATACTTTTTGTGCGACTAGTGCGATTCGCTATTAGGTATGTAAAAATGCACCACACAGTATTCGGAAATACAACACAATGAAATGTACTAATGAACCACAAAATGCACCACATACACACCAAAATATGCACCACACCGCAACACCTAATGGTGTATTTCTAAACACTTTGTAGTACATTTATATTTACCTAATGGTGAGCGACAGCACGGGAAGTATTATGCGCACGGGAATATGTATAGTTAACTATTTTAATTTCAAAATATGGCATTTATCTAATTTGTTATAAATGGAATGGTATAGGTATGGTTGGTTTGACAGCATATGTAGGGCTATATGAGATTGGACGTCCCAAAAAAGGAGAAACGGTTTTTGTGTCCTCTGCTTTTGGGGCTGTTGGTCAGCTTGTTGGACAATTTGCAAAACTTGTGGGTTGTCATGTTGTTGGTAGTGCTGGCACAAAAGAAAAGGTTTGTTTCACCTCCTCTCATGTTTTTTTTTTTTTTTTTTTTCTAGACCTCGGACTAAATTGTACACTTTTGTCTTTAATGTTACTGGTAAGAATTGAATCCCAATCTTATCTCTAGAAGCAAATCTTAAGTAACGCTTTTCATCTACTAGTTCAATGCCTGAGGGCACCTCTCTCATGTAGTGGTGCATTTGAAAAAGTTATGAAATTAGAATGGTGATAGTAAGCTTTTAATTTGTTCCTTCTATTCTAATTTATTTGTCATATATATTACTATTTGATCAAATCAATTTGTTTTCTTTACTTACTTTCTTTAATTCTTATATAATTTTTAAATTTATTTTCTTTGTATTTAATACGTAGTAATATTTTTAATATAATTTCTAAATATATAAATTTTATATACTATTAACAAACTTAAGATTATAAAAAATATATATATAAATAACTTCAATAAGGGTTGATTAACCGAACCATCACATAAAATGAGAGAAAATGAATATTAACATCTACTCATCTAATTAAAGTGTCTACAATTGTCTGAAAGAATAACTCCACACCACACATTAATATATTTAAATATTTTACCTCAATAATAAACTTATTTATTATAGATACTTTTTCAAACCCCCCCCCCCCCCCCCCCTCCCCTACATTAATATATTTAAATATTTTTCCTCAATGATAAACAGTTTATTTAAAATAAATGCTTTTTTAACTACCCCAACCTACATTAATATAATTAAATATTTTCTTCAATGATAATTGATAAACAACATGCTTAAAAATTAAAATAGATACTTTTCAATCACTACCCTTACCCTACATTAATATAGAGCCTTTTGTATATATTGCGCTTATTTGATTTCTAAGTGTTATTCCTAATTTTAATTTAATTAATTTTTCTCAGGTTGACCTGTTAAAAAGTAAATATGGATTTGATGACGCTTTTAACTACAAAGAGGAGAAAGACTTGAATGCGGCTTTAAAAAGGTTAGTACAATATTTTTATTTTCCTTTTTTTGGTTTAAATATTTCAAAGTGAAAACTAACTATTATTTAATTATTGTATATTTTTTCCTTTTGCTTTTCAAGTTTAAAATTGACCAAATTCGATTATCATTATTAAAAAATGTGCCAATTGCTCACACAAATGTGGCACTTTTAGTCAATATGTTAGGACTAAAAGGAGCACATTTTTCATGTCCAAGAACTATATTTGTTCACTTTTAAACTCTAGCACCAAAATTTTTTTAAAGACAAACATTACAAAAAACTCAAAATTGAATTGAAGTTGTATCAAACAGTTTGACAAATACTACATTGTAACAGAATCAAAGTAGTAAAAAAAAAAATAGTTTGACAGATACATATATAGATATTGTTCTTACGAATTTCTGTCTTGGTTAGATATTTCCCCAATGGAATTGATATCTACTTTGAAAATGTCGGAGGAAAAATGCTCGATGCAGTACTTCTCAACATGAAGATCCATGGGCGCATTGTTGGTTGTGGAATGCTCTCACAATACAACAATCTCGAGAAACCTGAAGGTGTTCATAACTTGATTCTCATCATCAACAAACGACTCCGTTTTGAAGGATTTCTTCTCGCAGATCATTATGATCTCTATCCAAAATTCCTAGAAACAGCTCTTCAGTACATTAAGGAGGGGAAGATTTCTTACGCAGAAGACCTTTCAGATGGTATTGAAAGTGCTCCTCGTGCTCTCATAGAATTTTTAAATGGTCAAAGTATGGGAAAGAAAGTGATTGTTGTTTCTCAAGAATAGACATTTTAATTTCATGAATATCTCTATAGTGTTCACATTTCATTTGCATATCATGTAACAATAAGAAAAACCTTTCGTTTCTTTTCTATAAATCTTTTGAATTAATGAAAGTATCGGAAATATTTTCAAGATACGAAATATGAATCAGTGAAGTAGAATCGCATACCTGAATCTGTTTTTCCACTATTAAGGAGGAGGCCGGTCTATCAGCAATTCAACATAGGTTTCAAATTAAAGAACCAATAACCTGTCTGTGCCTAACAATTGCAGGAAAGTTTAATCAGATCATGCAACTGCAAATCTCGATATCTCATAGATAGAAACACGCACAAAATTCAGAACCGGGAACACAGAAAGAACCAAAAAGTGATAATTTTATAACTCAACCAACCAAATAATACAGTAGCAACCAAGAAAGAACCTGAAACTGCAACAGATAACCATCTATGCAATTGCAAATGTAATTTGTACACACTGAAAAATAATACTCAGCATTTCGGGAAAATCAATCATTACAAATCAGCATGTTAAGAACTTGAATTCAGGTGAGGCTCTGTTTTATGGCCAACTTATAGCTCGCTGTAATCTCTGGAACACATTATTTCTGTTAAGATGGGACACCATTCTGTTATTAATTTAGTTTTCTGAATCGGGTTCTTCATTAATGGCATTGATATCTACTTCGAGAACATTGAGTAAAATGATGCTTGATACGGTGCTTCTAAACAAGAAACTTCATGCTTCCAAGTCATATTAGAATCAAAGGTTAGATGGATGAGATAAGGATTGCAATTTCAATTCCAACACAATAGAGATTACAGAACGGTATTCTAAATACACAGCGTGAACTAACCCTATTAACTAGGAAAGCCATAATTAACTAATCTAATACAAAGACTAGTCAACATAACTAATAGAAATAATAACATAAATAATAATATCTCTAACAAGATGTAGATCATACACTCTTGTAGACAACAAAATTAACAAATAATCATCTCGTAAATCATGATCTAATACAAAAGGCTCAAAATACCTTCAAGATATTCATATCTAAATCATGATCGAAGCATATTTATGTCTAAAAATACCTTCAAGATATGAATTGTCAGAAGAAAGCTTGTACGAAAAAACAAAGTAGAATCTCATACCTGAATATGTTCGTCCATTGTTAAGGATGAGGTCTATCAGCATAGGATTCTTATTAAAGATCAACATATTAACCAATAACCTGTCTGCCTAACAATTACATGAAAGTTTAATCAGATCTCATGTATCTGTAAATCTTGCATTTATGAACATGTACAAAATTTAGAACCAAGAACTCGAAAGAACTAAAAAAAAGGCAGTAGTTTTCAAACACAATAGACCTAATAATACAGTATCAATCAAGAAAGAACCTGAAATTTCAATAGATAACCAAATCAAACTCTAATATATTAATATCTGTTTCTATAATTCAGTAGAAATAAGAATCACTTCTTCCTCTTAAGTGGCCCAGTTTTGTAGCCACATTTGGTGGGCTTACCCCAAGGGGTACGAGAACCCTTCCCATGGCTACCACTACTCTTGCTCTTCCCTTCCCCACCACCATGCGGATGATCAACAGGGTTCATCGCCACACCACGAACTGTTGGCCTAATCCCGCGCCACCGATTCTGCCCAGCCTTATACAGTTTCTTCGACGCGTGCTCAGGGTTCGGCGCCTGTCCGATGGTGGCCCAACACCGAACATCGATCAACTTCTTCACGCCAGAGGGGAGCTTGATCTCGCAGTACCTGGACGAAGAGCTTGGCTCGGTCATGATCTTAGCTACGGTGCCCCATCCCCGGACTAGTTTCGGGCCTTGACCGGGCCGCATCTCGAGGTTGTGAATTAGGGTTCCAATCCGCATCTTCTTCAGCGGCATGGACGACCCTATTTGGGAGCTGACATCGAGAGTGAACGATGAGAGTGTCGAAGATGCCGAAGCCGCATCTGTAAAAATATATATAAATATGAAATCCTGAGTTATGAAAATGCAAAAATTGTATGAAAAGGTGGATAGAGAGCATATATATATACTGGAGAAAGAACGAGCGAGGAATTGACAAATCGAGGACGAAGCCATTCGAGCTCTGAAGAGCGCCATTATTGTAAGCTGGAAGAATTAGGGCACAATTGTTCAGTGACAGTGCTAGGTTGTTCTGTGGAAGATGAATGACGCCATTTTTTTTTTTAATTTTTTTTGAGAAAATATGAATAACGCCATATTTTTCTGATTTTCTTTGGTTTTTGAAATTGGGCTTTTCTAATTGAACTGGGATAACTTTCCAAAAAAAAATTAAACTGGGATGCGACGGACAAATAGGCCCATTCCTAATGCATACAAAGTATCAGTAGTGTCATACCCAAATTCATTTTTAATATAGTGAATGTTCATTTTTAGGTATTTCATTACACTAAAAAAAAAAACATTCAATATTCTAAAAATGAATATGTATGTAATCAATCATGCAATGTAGATCCTAAATCAGGATGTATTGATTTTCTTTATTTTTGTTTTTAGGAATAAGAATCAAGTAGGTCACTGAACTGCACACGATAATGCAGTTAGGACACTGAACCTTAAAAAATTACAATTGAATCTTTAAATTGACTCATTTCATACAATTCATCTAATTTGTAGGTTTTTTCAATTTTTAACGGATCACCAAAATTTAAAATATTATTAAAAATAGTTATTTAAAATTAAAAAACAAATATATCTCCGGTCATGGGGACGAAGAGACCTTTGTCTACATGCTGCAGAATACTAAAATTTGACAGACATTTTTTCTACCCATTATAGACTTAATTTTATTGGTTCTTATTAGTATAGTAGATATAGACACCATAATCAAAATCTGAAAATCTTGTCAATATAAAATTACCTTACTTTGATACCATAATCCAACATTTTGTATTCTCTTGAGGTATAGTATGATCTTCTTTGTTGTTGTGAAATGATTTTCCTTTGGTTTGGCATGAAATCTAGCACATAGACTAAGAAATATCATGTCTACTCGTCGTAAGGTAAAAGAAGTGAAACAATCATTCCTCTGTATTTATTTGTAGATTAATTAGCTAGAATTCCTATTGCATAAGACATCTTGACAAATAGATTAATAAAATTCAAATCTAATATGGGTCGTCAAGTGAGTGGAACATTATTCTTATACTTAAAGGTCAATAGGTCAATGATTGATTCTTATCAATACTATTGGTCGAGTCGCACAAGGTCTTCTTAATGTTCTTTGCCACTTCTCTGTATGGTTGGTGGACTGTTAAACAAGAGCAAGGTTTACCCAGTATACAATATTAGATTTCCTTCGTCGTCTAAACAAAATTCAAATCTAATTAAAAAAAGTTATATAACTTATTATCAAATTGTATTCTAAACCCGCCAAAACCCATCAATTCTAGCAAATCAAATACACATAGAAGTATTGGCATGATTGTTGCCATTATGGACTTAAAGATTCACAAGTTTTGATTTTTCACGACTTCGTACATCTTTATGGAATATGATTTGGACCACTTATGGCTAGTAGGCAAAGTGTAGTATTTATTTATTTATTTATTTATTTATTTATTTTTATAACACATTCTTCCTAAACCTTATGAACTCGTTCTCAGGCTCATGATATGTAAATTGAGTCAATTTAATTTTGAGACTCTTACCATACCCTGGTGCTGAAAGCACGTTCTACGTAAATCAATTTAATTTCGTTGATAGTTACAGGATGAAATATATAAACACTCTAGGAAACCTGCCTTTACTTCATACATCAAAAAGTTATGAAATTTAATCAACCAAAAAAAAAAGTTATGGAATTATGACTATTTGTTTTAAATAATTAAGATATGCTCAATCAGTGTATGCTTTTGTGACAATTAATTTATTTTGTTGATCTTGAAGATTTGAATTATTCAATCAACGAACTAAAATTGAGAATCCACGTGCCAAAGCAAAGAGTGGTCGCAACTAAAAGAGGATAAGTATGTCCAATGAATATTAGTTATTTTGTCCATTATTAAGTGTCCTGGTTCAATCATGCATCTTATTTATGGCCCAAATATCACACGTACATGAAATACCCGCGTCCTTAGCACCATTTAAAATTTTTGTCCCAGTACAGCTCTGCGCGTCTTAATCAGTCCAGTAGACTATGTTGAGATATTTTTAAAAATAGTACTCCGTAGTATACATGTGTCAAAATGTATGATGGATTTAATTAACTCGGATAGTTCGAATTATTAAACCTGATAATAATAAGACTAGAATAATGCGGTAATAAAGGCGATAAATGTGTGTCGCGGGGACAACTTTTGTATTGATAATGTTTGTAGGAGAATTACAAGGTGAAGGTAATAATAAGACTAAACAAGACAATGATCCCCTTTTTATATTAGCTAACCTCCCAACCGCCCACCCTATTCTCGTGGGGCGGTTGGATCGCGATTTGACCGAGTCCATGCGGGTACCCGGGACAGCCTTCTGCCCCTGGGTCGAGGTAGGCCCCAGCCGTGGACGACGGGCTGAAGTAGACCCCTGCCGAGGTCGACCTTGTCTGGGTCGCGGTCGGCCCCTAGCCAAGGCCTTAGTCGGCCCGTGCCGGGCTCGCCCTTGGCCCCTTGCACCATGCCTTCCCGGATCAGTTTGCCCCGAGTCCGTTCCTAATATATCCATCAATGTATAATCAAAATATAATTTTCATACCTAAAAATCACAAGTGTAATTATTGTTAATATCTTCTTAATTGAACATGTTGCATGAGTCTTTCTAGTGTGATTAGCAGGCTATTACACATGAACAGAGTTTTTTCAATATACAGCCTTGAATAATGGCTACAGATTTCCCTCGTCACCAAAAAAAAAAAAAAATATTACACATATGTTTTTTTTTTTTTTGAGTACTATTGACCCTGTTTTTTTTTTTTTTTTTTTTTTTTATAGTCATCATGATTTTCAACCAGATTAATTTATTTTGTGGCTTAGATATGAATTGTTTTTTTTTTTATTAGAAAAAATTGTACATTTGTCAATTTTAGTATCTAGT